GGATAAGGCGAGAATATAGATGGCCGCATATCAACAACGGGTGGCGAAAAGATACAACAAACATGACTGATCCAGGGTATTCAAGAAAGGCGATTGGGTGCTCAGAAAGTCGTTCGGCAACGAGGCGAGTGGTAAATTCAGTCCCAATTGGGAAGGTCCCTACCAGATCGTCGACGTAGTCAGACGGGGGGCATATCGTCTCGTGTCCGCCAACGGTAAGCAAGTTCCAAGGAGCTGGAATGCGGTACACCTAAAACCTTTTCATTTCTAACTAAGTTTTACACAATTACAATCATTTTTTATTCCTTTACTAACTTGACCGTCGGAGGGCCGTTGGCAAGCCAACGGCCGAATTAGTTTTAAAACAGATGTAGACAACTAAAAGGAATGAGGAAAGTAGACAAGGTATTACAGGTAATATTTGTTTGTCCCGGTTGTACTGGGTACAGACTAGAGGGGGGGCGTGAATAGACTGTACTGATTTTTAATTTTTCACGCTAAGTACCAGATTTAACAGAATAGCCTGTTCTTTTGGCAGAACGGACTGGCAGCGGATGGTCTTCTGGTGAGGGTTCTGTCCGGTTAGCCTCTAAGAGATGCAAAGACAGTAGGCCTTCTGTTAACTCACAGGAGGGGTTCTGCTGAGCACAGAGACCTAAGTTCTGGAGTTAATCAGTTAAGGATAAATAAAAGAATTAAAAGCAGTAAGTAAATGACACCAGGGATTTTTATAGTGGTTCAAGGAACAACTCATTCCTCTAATCCATTGTTCCACTAAGCTTTTAAAAAAAATCAATTACTCAGCCTTAGTCCTAGCACTTAAGAAGCTCTCCACGTCTTCTTCAAGTGTAGATGTCTCCTGGGATGCACTTCTTTGCTTCCTTTAAGACTGGTCCTTTCACTGAGCTTCCCGGAAGTATCACCACTTCCCTACTCCAGTTACTTGGACGTCCTTTTCGTTGGAGAAGAGTTCTTGAGAGAACAGAGGTTTTCCAACTAGCTTCGTTACAAGGGATTTGTTGTTGAAGAGCTTGAAGAGTTGAAGAACGGTTGGAACTTTGCTTTTGTTGGGATATGAAGATAGACAAATATTATTTTCCCAACGTATGCCTTTCTTGTTGATGAAGATGGAGATTTTGATCTCAAGAAGGCTTGTGCGTTTGAATGTTTGAATATTTTGGTTGAGCACTAGTTTTTTTTCAAAGTTTCAGCAAAGTCCTAGTTGATGTTCTTCAAGTAGTATCTTTTATACTGGGGTTGTCTTCCCGTTGGAGGAGGAGGACAACTCCATTAAATGCGCGAATAGTTGACTTGACCAGTAGGACCCGGTAATGTTGGCGGGTTACTATTTTGGGATAAAGTTATTACGAAGTATCCTGGAATGTCAGTCAATCATCAGCTTTTACTCTTCAGAGTACGGGGTGCATTAAATGTGCATTTAATGCGCGTACTGTAGTTTTTCCGTTGAAGTCTTCTAGTCGTTGAAGGAATCTTCAGATGGTTTCACCGGCTGTAGTAGTTCCATGAAAATTCTCTAAGTGTCAAGCCTTCTGGTGTCTTCAGCAGAGGAGTCTGCCAGAGAAGGTCTTGAGCACTTCTGTTGGAATAAGCTATCAGAGGGTCCTCAGGTCTTCTGTCAGGGAATGAACTAACAGAGAGTCTTGACGGTTTCTGCTCTAGTGAAACATGACAGAGAGGCAGGAGGACTTCTGTTGGAGAACTGTCACCAGAGGGTCTAACGGCATTCTGTCTAGAAGTCTTCTATCAGTCGATTATACAAAAACACATACAACGAGAATTCTAATACAATTTTCTAAGGAGTACTCTAAAGTCCTATAGCATCATCAAAATCTAATTACAAATATTCCTTACAATATTCATATTAATAATTCATCATCGGTGATTTACGAAATCCAGGTACCTACTTGTTCACATGATGATTGATTATCGTCCAAATTGCCGTCATTTCTTTAAAGTTCGATTAATATTACATTTTTGGTCAAACTTGCTAACTTAAACATCGGAGGGCCGTTGGCCAAAAGCCAACGGCCGGACTCTGACAACATGATTTTGTTCAGGATGTTGATGTAATAAACACAGCAAGGAACATTGTGACAAACACTGAAGCGTGCCTACTGAAAGCACCTATGTTCGTCCCCTGACAACATAATAAAGGGATAGCGAGGTTCGTCTGGGTCATTCATATAATAAATATGAAAAACAAAGCCATACTCCTTGCGCATTTTGGCCAAAACAACAGATATACATACGAAAGGAACGTCATCCAAAACAACAGACAGACGACATGTATCATCCTCCACCACCGTTGGGGGAGGTATTTGACTATTTTCCGTGTAGGGGTAATCAAATGAGAAATGTTATTCATAATTTCGTACTATTAGTGATGGAGATCGAAAGGAAGGTTTAGAAACGGCATTTGACTCCGCAAGAAAAAAAATTAATGTTTCACACATATTTAGAGTTCATTTGATAATACTTAAATCGACTGTATTGTCTGATGCTGCTGAAACTTAAGAAGTTCTCGATGAAGTGACTAGGTTGACTTATTCTGCTGATTTATAAAAGAAAATATTTAAAATATATTTTATTAATAAAATAAAGAAAATATTATATGAAAAACAGCTAAAATGATCATCTACAATAACTTCAGTCAATACATTCAGAAAATAACTCCAAGCTTACCTTTTCCTCTTATTATTACATAATTCAGTGCGTAAAATCAAAAGTTACGTGTTTGGTGAAAAAATTGACTGATAAACTTGATAAGCAGAAAAACATGATCATCAAACGTCTCTTAATTTATTCAGTAATACCGGAATATAAAATTTTGAAGCTTCGACCATTAAAATACATTTTTTACTCCGCCACTAATTCGTGCTAATACAAATTTTACGAAGGCAGTAGTAATGTGTTGAGAAAAATGTAATGGGAGCAGACATCCATAATATTTTTATAAATTTTTTATTTAAATAAAGATAAGACCGGTGTATGTATAAAGATATATATTACGACTCTAAAATGTACTCCATCCGTCCCATAAAATAATTCCCACTAGGATTTGGATCGAAGTTTAAAAAAGTGAGAATAAAGTAGAAATGTATGATTATGGTTGTGTAAGGAAAAGGTAAAAAATGATAATCACTCATAATTTTCCAAAAAGAGAAATGAGAACTATTTTTTGAAACGGCCAAAAAAGTAAAGTAGGAACTATTTTATGGGACAAAGGTAGTATATGTACAAAGGTGAAAAGCCTTTGGTAAAACCAAAGGTTTAATGATCCAAACTTTTATTGATTTAACTCATACAAAAAGAACTAAATTAAAGCACCACCTATAATTAAGCTTCCAATTCGAGTATGAAATATTAGATCTTCTTATAAAACAAAACAGATACAATTTGGAGGTGCTCAAAAGTATCTAAGACGAAAAAAGTTATATGATTATTCCATTCTATCATCATCTTAAAATTCTAATGAAGACGGAATAGAAGGATATTTATAGTCAGCATTTATGTAGTGGAACAATGGAAAGGTTTTTTATACTTGCTACTTATTCCCCGGCCTATTTATACTTAGTCAATCTCTTACTATTCATAAGGTCAAACTTTGAAAATTCTGAATATCTTCATCCATTTTTATATAATATACTTCGTATTTATTATACATGAGGAAATCAATTCCATCAGTGAGATCGTGTAAATTTCGCCTCCAAATTTATTTTCCAAATATCAATTTTTCATAGTTTTTAATAATATGTTTTAGATGTAGTAATAATCAAATATTTGGATGAGAGGACGAGGTGTTTGGCAATAGGTTGTTAGCTGTTGGGTGATTGTGCAAGATGCATGTTAAATAAGGATGTAACCAGAACTTCCAGCCTAGCTGGTTGTGAGGTTACCCCTGAATAGGAGAGGTCTCGTGTTCGAGTCCCACTAGCACCAGTGGAACTATGTTCCCCCCCAAAACCCTTCAAGTGGTAGGGCCAAGCGGTGTATACTAACCCGTTGGGCCAAGCCAAAGTCAGGTTTCTGGGGTAAGGGGCTGAGAAAGCGGTGGAGCTAGTCACTATAAAAAGTTTACCCATACCTTAGTTTTAAACATAACTTCCAGCCTAGCTGGTTGTGAGGTTACCCCTGCATAGGAGATGTCTCGTGTTCGAGTCCCTCTAGCACCAGTGGAACTATGCTCCCCCCAAAAAAACTTCAAGTGGTAGGGTCAAGCGGTGTATACTAACCCGTAGGGCCAAGTCAAAGTCAGGTTTCTGGGGTAAGGGGCCATGAAAGTGGCGGAGCTAGTCACTATAAAAAGTTTACCCATACCTTAGTTTAAACCAACCATTCCAGCTCACTGGGTGGAAGGTTACCGTGTCTTAGCGGAGGTCTCGGGTTCGAATCCCGCTAGGCACATTTAGGGGAGAGGAAGGAGGTCTTGCTCCCATTGATTCTTCCTACCTTCACAGAGTTGCTCAGCGGCTGAGAAGGGAGAGGATGGTAATGAAGGAAGCGGGTTCGTGTGGTGGGAGGAACAACCTGAAAGGTGATGTAAGTCCTGTTGGATTCGTCCTTTGGAGCCAGTACTGACGAGGTTGACTGTGATCAGATCCGGATTAATTGTCTAGGGGCTTTGGAGGGTAGTTCATAGACTCCAGGATTATGGGAGCGTAACCCCCTACACCTGGATTATAAAAAAAAGATGTAATGAATTGATACGTAAGTGTGACCCATTTGATGTCACATTTTTGTGTTATCAAAAAAAGGATGTAATGAATTGCTTTGGTTCAAAGAAAAAGTGACCCATGAAAAATAAGAATAATCTCTCATTTGATGTCACATTTTTGTGTTATCAGCATCATCAATCAAACATGCAAGGTTTGATTTGACGCATTTAATTGTTAATAATTAAAATAATTGCTAGTATTGGAGTAATGAATGTATCAAGTGTGCCATGATATTGTTTAATGCTTATTATTGCCAATATAAATGCGGTCTCTCCATAAAGTTTGGTTTTAGCTAGGTCTTCTGCGAGCCTCAAGTGGCTGGTGCGACAGTAGTTTGATCGTGCCGATTCAATGCAAAGTGCAGTGCAAGGTTTAAGAGCAGTGTTTATCCGTTGATCAACATGGAGAATATGATTAATCAATACAACAATCTAGATATTGGTGGAGAGGAGAATGAGCTGGTTTTTTAGGAGGGTGAAGTTGACACACAAGAGGACTTCGTCAGAGAGATTTTTCCAGTAGTGGACACAATTATCACCGATAAAATGGTGAAATTCCAGATTTTCAAACCTCTAATGGCTTCAATATGGTGTCCGAGTAGAGGAGTCTTGATCGAGGAAATCGAGGATAAGAGGTATCTCTTCACTTTTTATCATATAGTTGTTATGAATCGTGTTTTGGAGAATGACCCATGAGTGTTTGAACAAAATCTAGTGGTTTTAAAAGCGATAGAACCATGGTATATTCCTATGAAGGTCTCTTTGAATACAACGGAATTTTAATTTGGGTTCAGGTGCATAATGTGTTATATGGCTATATGACTTTAGAGGTAGCAAAAAGAATTGGTAATCTTGTGGGGAGTTTTATTAAACTGGATGAAGGTCAATTTGACGGGAAAGTGGGAAGCATGTATGCGTATAAGAGTCTGATTGGATGTGGGAAAATCTTTAAAGATTGGAACTACATCCAAAAAGGTAAGTGGAATGGATATTGGTGGATTTTAAATATGCAAAATTGCCTAGTTTACGCTTTGTGTGTGGAGTCATTGATCAACTTATGTCCATTGGCATATGAGAAAGGGGATTTGACTCTAGAGAATGTTTTTGGGTCATGGCCTACAGCTGGAGGAAGGAAACCTCGTCTCACAGCTTCAAACAAATGGCTTGTTGAAGAGGGGTCTTTATCGACTGGAATGGGCTACAAGCATGCTGAGCATAGGCAAGACATGGCGGACTAGCAGGCTTGACAGACGGTGGAAGGGAATCAGGGTTGGCCAATCACAGTACTAGAAAATGAGGAAGGAAAGGCCAGAGAAGTTGGAACATCTAGCACGTGACTAGACCATAAAAGGAGAAGGATGTGAGAGGAAAGACAGGAGAAATCGATTATAATGAAGACGGAATGGCTCTTGATGAGCCAAAGATGGGAAAGGGGCGGGTGCTGACTATCGGACCCATATGAGTCTTTGAGAGTTGTTGCTTCTCGTGAAGACTAGCTACTACTCCTCGTGATTTTAGGGAGGCAGGCTCCCTCTACTTGTTATGTTTTTCTTATTGTTTTTTATTTTAGTGAGGATGCTTTTTGGTTTTGTTTCAGATTTTTTCTGGTCACACTATTGACTTTAGATTGAGTGATGGAAAGTCTGTTTTGACCGCCTTTGATTCAATTATGCTCATTATAAGATCAACGAGTCATATTTTTTTCAGAATGAGAATTGACTCTGAGTCTGGTTCGAGGGCTGACGATTGGGTATGATCTTTTTGTCTTCTTGTTACTTGCCTAGATTATGATATTTCAATATAAGTAACTTTCTTCCACACACAAAAAAGTTTGCCATATTATCATGTATACATTTGTTAGTTATTTTTTCGTACATATATACATATACACAAGGGCGGAGTCAGAGCACTGGACCGGACTGGGCCGGTACAAAGAATATATTTGAAAAAAAAATTACACAAAATTTTTTACACTAAAAATATGAACATTTTTTAAATTTAGGTTGGGACAGGGCCAAGATTGGCCCTCCCCTGACTCCGCCCCTGCATATACATTTTGTAATTATTATAAGTTTAATTGTGACTCATGATCTTATCACTCCATAGCTGTAGTTAGCTTACGAGCTAGTTCTATCCCTTTGTGTCCAACATGTATACATATGATCTTTGCTCATTATTGAGTTACAAGGAATGATAATTCCTCAAATAGTTAGGAGTAAAATATGGAAGGAGTGCAAAAGGAGGAGTAGATTTCCAAACTTTTCAAAATAGGAATATTTCTTTAAGCTTGGACAAGAATACCCATGGGGGAGTCGCTGCCGAAGTTGCCGCCGGTCACCTCCGCCGTCGCAATTGCCTGATCTACCGCAAGCCGCCAGTTTCCGCCGTAAATTTCTAGAATGCCGCAGCCGCAGTTCAACCAATCTGACGCCGCAGTTCACCTCAACCGTCGTCACTATCACCGAACTGTCCGCGACCAACAGATAGACTTAGTTATGCGAGGGCGAACTAGGAGACAATTAATTGTATTAATTAATTTGACTAGATATATTACATTAAGAGTACAAATTTAATGTTTAGTCTTATTTAAGAAAGAGTTAGAACGTACTCCTATTTAGTGAAAAGGAATACTATGTTTTACTCATATTATGGACTATTACTTTATCATCCTCTTGACTTTGATGTTATTCTATGGAATTTGGTAAGGGTGGGCATTTCGGTTTTCGGTTCGGTTTTCTTTGGTTTCGTTTTGGTTTCGGTTTAATCAGTTTGATAGAAAATGTACCAAATACAAACCGATTAAGTTTCGGTTTGGTTTCGGTTTGGTATGGTTCGGTTCGGTTTGGAGTTCGGTTTACCAAAGTATTAAGGTTTGGATTGCAAAAAAAAACTCAAAATAATGAACCAAGAAGCGATAGTTATGAACCAAATATAATGTTAGATATAAATTTGCAAACAGTAACAAAAAACATATGAACCAAAAATATATAAGCACGACACATTTGTAAGCAACAACAACGAGAATGAATCAAATTATATATAAAGCCGAAACAAAAACAAAACTGGTGCTTGTAAGCAATGAACCAAATATATAGTAGTAGTAGATAATAAATTATAATTAAATACTACTACCTCCGTCCCGCTATAATTGTCCCATTTTACCTTATCGGTCCGTCCCATTAAGATTGTCACATACCAAATTTGGTAAAGTTTGTGTGACTTTAAATCATTCTTACTTTATTCTTACTTTATCAATTCAACATCAACCACATAAACAACTTTTTATTAATTTGCGTGTCACTCCCTCTTGTCTCATTGTTAGCGGGACAGAGGGAGTATCTACTTAAACCACTCTAATTGTTATAATTGTAAATGTAACTTTTGTAGTAAACTCTTCTCATGGACACTAAAATTAAAGAATTAAAGCTTCAAAAAGATTAACATCAATCAAATTAATGAGAGAAATCTTATATTTTGGTTTGGTTTGGTTTGGTGTAAGTTGGTTTTGATTTGTTATTTTAAAAAAATAAGAAATTATTTCATTTTTAGATTAGTTCGGTTTTATTCGGTTTTTTGATTTCGATTCGGTTTGGTTCGGTTTAATACGGGTTGGGAGGAATATTACCAAACTCAAACCAAATTACAAATGGTTCGATTTCGGTTCAGTTTAATTCGGTTTGGTACGGTTCGGTTCGGTCAAACCGAACCGTTATGCCCACCCCTAGAATTTGGGATGTTTTTAATTACTTCAATTTATTTCAATCTTATATCAGACCAGATCAAATCAGATCATACTTAAACAGATCATATCAGATAGAGTATCAGACCACGCCGGACCAAACCGGATTATTATAAAATTTCAGTTCAAGTAAAAACATACTTGATATCTAATCAAGCTCTTGGATTAGCTAATTAATTACATTTAGGGTGGACCTCTCTAGCTTCCCGTAATGAATAAGCCATTAGTTGCTGACTGTCATACATAATCAAAATATAAAGCAGGTCTCATGTACATGTTTAGAGTTTGCAACAGCCACTTACCACAGTTGGTTTTCGAGGGCCATCCATTGTCACCTATAATATGTATAGTTAATTAGCGGTGTGTTGTGTTGGTGTTAGCTAGTACCTTGTTGTCTTTTATTCTTAATCCGACTGATCTGCTTACTTGCTTGTGTGGGTAGAGAATTGATCATGTCCAGCACTTCTTCTTCCGAACATCGTTGTTTGGGGTCGTTTCCCTTGGAATTTTTTGATTAAACTTTTTGAGCATATTACTTATCAATTTTAGTTTATCCACAAAAAATTTCAACTTAAAAATCGATCGGGAAGGCAGTCAAATCATTTTTTGAAGTTGACTGCGCCAAAATATACATATAAAAACGCAGTCAACTTCAAAAAATGATTTGATTGCCTTCCCGATCGAATTTTGAGCTGAACTTTTTTGTGATAAACTAAACTTGATAAGTAACATGCTCAAAAACTTTCACCAAAAAATTCCACTAGTAACCGCCCCAAACGGCGGTGTTCGGACGGTGTTTGGACGGGGAATGGTGAACATGATCATTTCCAGTTTTCCACATGTGATGCACTATAACGTTTCTGTGTTGCACTTTTTCAAATTGAAAGAAAACTTTGACTTATTTACAAAATTCCTCCGCATTTTTTTTCTTTAGCATGGTTCGACTGAAGTTCAAATAGTGCAACACATCACCCTTAAAGTGTATCACATTCGGATAAAAGTGAACGGTTTTCAGTTTTCACGTGAAGAGAAGTTTTTATTTTATCCTAAACTATATATATATATATATATATATATATATATATATATAATTTAATTATACGAGTATATTAACCTACAGTTTTGTTCTTTGATGCTCTCTTATACATTGTACATTCTTCTTTTTATTTCTTTTAATAAATATAGTTAACAATGGGTGTGTTGTGTCGGTGTTATTTTTTTTTAATCATGTGTCGGTGTTAGTTAGTAATCCCTTCGCCTAAAATTTTATCTACTTTTATTTTTCTTCCTTCTCAAAATAAATTTCATTTGCAACGAATTTGTTATTTTTAATATTCGTTTCTTATCTACAAGTCTTAATAATCGTATAAGGTTGTTTTTACTTGGACGGTAATTCGTCCCAAACCAGACCAGACCAGACCAAAACAGACCAGACCAGACCAAAACAGACCAGACCAGACTAAAACAGACCAGACCAGACCAGACCAAACCAGATCAGATCAGACCATATTTTATTATTATTATTATTATTATTATTATTATTATTATTATTATTATTAGGGGTGTGCACCGGTTCAAAACCGGACCGGACCGGACCGAACCGGACCGAATATCATTCTGGTTCGATCCGGTTCCGGTTTTTCTGGTCCGCTTCGGTCCGGTTTTCCAGTTTAAACCGGATAGTGCACACCTCTAATTGTTATTATTATTATTATTATTATTATTATTATTATTATTATTATTATTATTAGGGGTGTGCACCGGTTCAAAACCGGACCGGACCGGATATCATTCCGGTTTGATCCGATTTCGATTTTTCTAGTCCGGTTCGGTCCACTTTTCCGGTTTAAACCGGCTAGCGCACACTCCTTATTATTATTATTATTATTATTAGGGGTGTGCACCGGTTCAAAACCGGATCAGATATCATTCCGGTTCGATCCGGTTCCAGTTTTTCCGGTCTGGTTCGGTCCGATTTTGTGGTTTAAACCGGATAGTGCACACCCCTAATTATTATTATTATTATTATTATTATTATTATTATTATTATCATCATCATCATTATTGTTGTTGTTATTGTTATCGTTATTATTATTTGTAATTATGAATGAATAAAATATAATTATTTATGGATTATAATATATATAAAAAATAAAATCTTTATGCAAAAAATATAAAAATAAAATTTCATATCAGACCAGACCAGACCAAAACAGACTAGACTAGACCAGACCAGACCAGACCAGACCAGCAAATTACCGTCCAAGTAAAAACATCCTAACTAATTTACATTATTTTGTGAGAAAATATATAGGGGGGAAATAGAAATTAATAATTCAACTTTTTAGCGGTCTTCATTCGTTGGTCCCTCTTTATCGTTATTCATGAATAATCCAACCTTTGCACTTCATCTTTATTCGTTGATCCCTGACCGGTTGATGACCTGCTATTCCAGGTTTTTTCATTTTCTTTCCAAGTCATTCAACCATAAATCCCGCCTTTTATAAATCTTCATCAAGCGGTCCCACATGTCATTTTTCTTTTTTCTTCCTATAACTTTTCCTTTTTTATTTTTATTGTCTTGACTCTTTTATTCCCCCTTTTTGTCTTCGTATTTTTATTTTTATTACTTTTTATTTTTTTTATTTTTTTTCAATGTTTATGTATTCCATTTTTCCTTCTTTTTCTTCTTCCCGTTTATTATTTCATTTTCATTTATATATATATATATATATATATATATATATATATATATATATATATATATATATGTGCGGATTACTTTCCTTATAAAAGATCTTTTTCTCACCGTACTAACTATTTACTTTATTTTCTTTTTACTTACACTTATTTATTTCCTTTTT